CTCTCGGATGACACCTGTGTCCTGCTGGACTTCTTAAGTTTTCCACAGGGCATGCAAAGCTGACATGTTTAGGTGGGCCTTTGGAGGGTAACCATGTGTTTGGGCTGTTTTAATAGTGGTATGGTGATAGCCACATATTTTAATGTTAATATTTTATATTTGTTAGTTGCTTTTACGTTGGAGCTGCGGTGGCTCAAGTGGTTAAGACGCTGAACTGCAGGCTGTGGAAGGGTGGTAGTTCAGCAGTTCGAGACCCGAGTGTGCCGCATGACGGAGTGAGCTCCCGTCTCTAGTTCCAGCTCCTGCCAACCTAGCAGTTCGAAAGCAAGAAATTGCAAGTAAATAGGTACCACTTTGGTGGGAAGGTAACAGCATTCCGTGCACCTTGGTGTTTAGTCATGCCGGCCACATGACCACAGAAACGTCTTCGGACAGCACTGGCTCTTCGGCTTTGAAACAGAGATAAGCACTGCAACCCTAGAGTCAGATTCGACTGGCTTTCGAGCAAGGGAACCTTTACCTTTACTTTATCTTTTACCTTACTGGTTTTAATGTTGTAAGTCACAACAAGACCCTTTGGGTGAGCAGCAACTGAAAAATCTAATTTATCAATAAAGATAATATTGCCACAGAAAATTACTTGGACAATTTAAAAGATGATGTAGCAAAGTGTGAACAGGTAAGACCCAGACTGGACTCCTTAAGGCATATATCCAGTGCAAAAGTGAATAGCTGTCCCAGGTCATGCCCATCATATGCCACAGCAAAAGCAGAAAGAGATCAATCCAAGTATTTCATTTCATTTACCAGATGTCAGCAACAAGTTAATCACCAGGAAATAGTAAATGCTTCTTTGAGGGAGGATAGGGTATCAACAAGCTTGAAGGAGGTAACAGTAAAGTCTCTTCTGAAAAAGCCATTCCTGGTCTCAAATGATGGGAATGACTGTAGGCTAGTAACAAATATCTGTTATGGGAAAGGTGCTCAAGCAGATAAGCAGATGGTCTCAGTTAAACCTCTTGGTTTTGAAGAAGACCCCATTTCAATCCGGTTTCCAGTCCGGCTTTGCAAGTGAAAAGGCTTCAGTTGCCTGAACAGATGATGTGTCAGAAGAGAGCCTGAGTGTGACATTGTTGATTCTCCTGGACCCCCTCATAGCTTTTGATACCATCTTTCACTGTATCCTTCTGCACCAGCTGGCTGAGAGCCAGTTTGGTGTAGTGGATAAGAGCGGCAGAGTCTAATCTGGAGAACCGGGTTTGATTCCCCACTCCTCCACTTGAAGCCAGTTGGGTGACCCTGGGCCCGTCACAGTTCTTTCAGAGCTCTCTCAGCCCCTAAAAACAAGTCTAGCTCACCACTAGCATAATGCTAAGAACTAGAACTTGAGGCTGCCAGACAATCTTCAGCTCTCCTGGTATTCTACACACGATGCCATGCAATAATTAATTAATTAAGCTGGCTGGGAATCTGAGGTACCAGGCTTCTGAGTTTACACTCCTACCTGGCCAACCAGTTCTAGTAAGTGGCAGCTCAACCCCTCAACATTCTTTATTGCATTGTCCACCTGTTTCACTGAGATACAAGGTGGCTTACAGAGCCGCCCTACAGTCCTCTCATCCCTGTGCTTTTTAAAACCTACACAAAACTGCTGGGAGAAACCATCCAGAGATTTGGAGTGTCATCAGAACACTGATGACATACAAACCTGTTTCCCTTTTTTAGCAGTCAGATAAGACAACGGAAGTTCGGAAGAAGCATCTCAAGGCAGCAATGCACTGAAGGCAGCAATGCACTGTTTTTAATGGGGTTGTGTTACCCCTGAAGCAGTTTCACTGTTGGAAGTGATAATAGATCTGTTTGGTGTAGTGGTTAAGTGTGCGGACTCTAATCTGGGAGAACTGGGTTTGATTCCCCACTCCTCCACTTGCACCTGCTGATGTGAACTTGGGTCAGTCACAAGCTCTGGCACAGCTGTCCTTGAAAAAGAGCAGTTAGTGTCAGAGTTCTCTCAGCCCCACCCACCTCACAGGGTGTCTGTTGTGGGGAGGGGAAGGGAAAGGAGTTTGTAAGCCGCTCTGAGACTCCAAGTGAAGGGCGGGGTATAAATCCAATTTCTTCTTCTTCTTCTTCTTCTGCTTCTTACAAATGAACAATTAAGTCTCCTCTGTAGCATCTTTAGAAAGGGTTCCAGAGGATATCCAGGAAATTACAGGCCAGTCAGTCTGACGTCGATACCGGGTAAGTTGGTGGAAACTGTTATTAAGGAAAGAATTAGTAGGCGTACTGATGAACAAAAACTATTGAGGCAGACTCAATATGGGTTCTGTAAGGGAAGATCTTGTCTCACTAGCCTGTTAGTGTTCTTTGAGGAAGTGAACAAACATGTGGACAAGGGGGACCCAAAGTTCCTCATCAAAGGCTCCTAAGTAAACTCAACAGTCATGGGATAAAAGGACAAGTCCTCTTGTGGATCAAAAACTGGCTAATTATTATAGCACTGGAAAAAGTGCAGAAAAGGGCAACTAGAGTGGTAAAAGGGTTGGAAAACTTTCCCCATGAAGAAAGGTTAAAGCATTTGGGGCTCTTTAGCTTGGAGAAACGACGACTGAAGGGTGACATGATTGAGGTTTACAAGATATGCATGAGTTAAAGCAGGTAGAGAAAGAAGGACTTTTTCCCCTTTCTCACAATACAAGAACTCGTGGGCACTCAATGAAATTGCTGAGCAGTTGGGTTAGAACAGATAAAAGGAAGCACTTCTTCACCCAAAGAGTGATTAACACATGGAATTCACTGCCACAGGAGGTGGTGGTGGCTACAAACATGGGCAGCTTCAAGAGGGAACTGGATAAACATATGGAGCAGAGGTCCAGCAGTGGCTATTAGCCACAAGGTATAGATAGGAACTCTCAGTCTGGGAGAAGTGATGCTGTCTTCTTGGTGCTTGGGGGGGGGCAACAATGGGAGGGCTTCTAGTGTACTGGCCCCACTGCTGGACCTCCTGATGGCACCTGGTATTTTTGGCCACTGTGTGACAGAGTGTTGGACTGGGTGGGCCATTGGCCTGATCTAACATTGGCTTCCCTTATGTTCTTATGTTAAACAATATTCAGCTGGAGTGCCAGCTACAGCCCTTCCATGAGAAGGTCCAGTCCCAGTGATCTATGATCTGATCTGATCATACCTAGGCTCAACATCACACTACCTTTGAAGAATGGTAGCAATTGGTTCAAAAAGCAGCACCAAGATGACTATCCACATAGGTTGCGAGGAAAACTTCTCATCAGTCTTGGGGAGGGAACCACTGGCTGCCTGTTCGGTTCCCAGACTACTTCAAGGTGCTTCTTCTTACATTTAAAGCCCTGCCCTGAAAAGGTGTAGGACCAGAATATCTAAAAGGTTGCCTGCTCACACATGAACCTACCACCAGTTAAGTCTTCAGAGTCCCTGCTCTGCTTCTCCCACCTTGAGGAAGGTGACCACCAGGGAGAATTTTTTTCTGCTGCTGCCCCTCAAGTTTTGAACTCTTTCCACACACCGATTTGCCTGGAACCAGATCGAGTACATTTCAGTGCTAGTGCATGGTCCCAGGTATTTGTCAAGTGACAATGAAGGTTATCTGTCTTGCTTTATTTTACTTCCTCCATCACTTTAGCATTTGTTATTGTTGTTCTGTCTTTTTCTGCTTTGCCTAATGGAATGATTGTTTTGTGCCATGGTCTAACTTGTTTATTTTACTCTGTGGCTCTCTCACTGGTTTTATGTTTATGCTTATATTTTGTAAACTGACTGCAGAGTAAAAGCAGTTTGTTTAAATAAAGGCACCGACAGAGAAGAAGCAGTTGCTGGGGGATTAGAACAATATTAATAAGAAGATCCCTTAACCACGTTAGCAGCAAGCTCATTTCTATCTACTGTGGCTGATCTGCGTTCTCTCAACATCAGATTGCCTGCAAGTATCTATGACTGACAGACAGCATGATATTCACAGACTCCGCCCCATGAAATAAGAAGTGCTCTAGTTGTCAAGCTTCAGTTTCGTTTCACATCGTTCCACATCACTGCTTGCCATAATTAAGGGGAGTGAATTCCTGAGTGCATGGGTGTTTGGAGTGCCTGCTTGTAGAAGCCATAACTTTCCTTAAGATTGTGCCCCATCTCTGGTTCCCAAGGGAGCTAGCCTTGGAGACTCTTTTGCCAGGCCTGAACATAGGTAAGGCGCCGTATATATCTGTCCGGGTTGCCATAGCTACAATAGAGGCTGAATGATGACGTATGTGAGAGGTGTGGGGTGTATTTTGTATTATCTATAATAGGGGCTTTTGTGCGCCTTTTTCTCAGTTCTAACATGGAGCCTGTTTTCCTAAAGTAAGCATATCTCAATAAACTACCACTGCTTAAGTGTGTTGTGGAGAGTGTCTTAACTGGGGAGACCTGACACTACTATTTTAACCTCTGCACACAAGAACTGATTACTACTAGGACGGAGCCATAAATACGTACTGATCAGGATCCAGCTGAATGCTTCCATGGGGGGGGAATCTCTCTACCCATGGAAATGTAAACTGATCCAATGCACTGGTTTTATGAACACTGTTGAAGGTTTAAAGCCACTTTTCAGCCATTCCATCCTCACTCAATTTGCCTCCATTTGCCTTCAGTAACACCAGTAAGACAGTCAAATCTAATTAGCTACAAATCATCATAATGTCATCACATAAGATCCCTGACTGGCTAGGATTCACTCTATACAGGAAAAAGTGCCGACCGAGTCAGATTTGATGCTGAAGCACCAGCAACTAGAGATAACAGGTGCATGCAACAGTACAGGAAAAGAGTTAATTATTCTCACAATAAAAGCATGGGAAGGACAACTTTTAGTCCTCACCTCAAAAGAGGTTCATTTCTATTTGAAAAATCAAACAAATAAAATATTCAACAGAACCCCAGAATGTGCTTTTTTACTTGCTCCTTGGAGAGAAGAGACAAGACAGGGACACTGCATTTGAAAGAGAGAGGTGCAATGAGCAATTCTTATAGCGGCAATATTTTCCTGGCAGTTTGACTTTTTAAAAAAGCTACAGTACACCAAGATTTTATTCGTCCAGTGGAACAATGTTATCTAAAATTACAAAACTGGTCCATACAAAAATCCTTTTGTCATATCAAGACATAACTGGAATGAAAGACACACAACACACACAAACCCTGCCTCCAAAAAGGGCGAGTTAACCCCTCTCCAAGCAGAAAAGAGGGTTTCAAATGTGACTACAGGAGAACTTGCACTCCTCTCAGAGCCTCTCTATCCTCGTGGGAAGACCGGAAGGGATCATCAGCCACAAGATCTGCAGGAGGTCTTGCTTGCTATGGTGCCAGTACAGGGGACCATTCTGCCACCTACCCCGCTTTGTAGCAAAAAAATAGCAAATGCCCCAGAAAGGGGAAGAGAATTCGGTTGGCCAGACCTTGTGCCCACTAGGACAATCAGGCAGTTTGCAAGAACTTCCAAACGCAGACTTTTTGGATAAGAGAATGCCTGGCTGTGGTACAGCTCCTACTCTAGAAAGGGCAGCAAACTCAGAACAGAACCACAGCAAAGATGGCCGGTGAACATCCTGGCGCTGGCTCAGAACCCAAGGTCACGAATATATATAGGGTCTCCAGAAGCCTTTTCTTAGGAGTCATTAGGGAGACCAAAGAGCTTCACAGTGCCAGCTTCCCTGCTGCTGTCGTATTTGCCATCCTTGTCATCGCAGGCGAAGGCCAGCAGGGGCCGCTTTGGGTGCCAAGCCACTGTGAAGGTGGGGGACTCACACTGCACCTCCCAGAGCTTCTCCCCTGAGGACAGAGATAATATGGTTAGAAATGCACTAGGACTAGGTCAGCTACAGCTCAGACACCAGCTCTTGGGCTCATCTTTGCAGCACAAGAAGGTATTTTAATGGAGTAAAAACAAACAGGAGATCTAGTGGCACCTTAAAGATTAACAAAGTTTTATTCCGCTGTAACTTTCATGATCTACAGCCCATGTTAGCCCACTGTGGATTAACAGTATCACTTAAGAAGAATTTTGCAGGCTATCCTCTCTTTTATGAAAAGCTGCAAGGGCAGTACAAACCCAGAAGCTTTAGGCCTGCACAGGAAGCAGCAGAAATTTAGGTGGGATCTTTTATTCCCTTTGTCAGACCCACAGACTATAAACACTACAGTTTCAAGGACATCAGAACCAGAATGACTTCAATATCCACTCTGAAGTCCATCCCGGATGCTGAGCCCTGAATTCTCACCAACCGCAAGCGTATATGACTCTGTCAGCACTATTTTAGGACCAGACCTCACCACAATTTGAGCACCTCCAGAAGAAGACAATTTAAAAAGGCACTAAAACTACTTTTGTAACAAGCAACAGGAACAACAGTGTTTACCTGTTTCTACTTCAGCAATATCAATAAAGTGATCTTCAGATGCAGAAGCCAGCATTTTTCCATCATGGCTGAAGCTCAAAGTCCTCACGGGCCAATCCAGCCTGCAAATATGTGAGCAAACAGACAGAGAATTGGGAGCAGGATCCAGAAGAGCAGCTCTCCTGGGATTAGACATCAGACTCATCTTGACCAGCATCTTATTCTTTCCACCACAACCTTGAGATCTCTTTACTGGATTTGTCATAGCCAATAACACGGGAAAATAAGTGAAACTTGGCTTTCCTGCCCCATTTACACGAATACACTATAGGCATATGTGTAGCTGGGAAAGGTGTCTAGTGCAGGTCATGGCAACTTACCTAGAGAAGCATCGCACACACACTAGCTCATCCACATCCCAGAGGCTAACCAGTGCATCGGCACTGCCTGTAGCAAAATACTTTCCCATTGGATCGAACTTGATGCAGATGCAGTTTGAGGGATGGGCGTTTATTGACTGAATAGGTTTGAGTTCTGGATAGCTGCAGAAAAGGAAAAAGAGATGGAACCGGGGGTAGGATGGAAGAATACTGTCCCTTAATCTAGCTATAGGTTAGGAATGCTTTGCCTACCAATGCAAAATAGAGCCTACTTGATAGTACTGAGGTCTATTGACTGCACAACCCCTATAAATAGGATTAGTCACAACTGGATAGCAAAACTGACGCCTATTCCAGCTACAGAAAATACTGGAATAAACGTGACAGACACATTCCCCCCCCCACATGACATTATTCAGAAAAAAGAGGCACACAACTGCTTTACTGCACTGATGGATTTGAGGAAGAAAACAGTAGGTCTTCTAGTCAGACATGTGCTTATGCCTCTCTTAGTGGCTGCATGTGCCTCCACAAGAATGCCTTATATGTCAGCCTGTAAGCCAGGGTTCACCAAGTTTTCACAGTCATTTAATAGGATACTGCTTAACTTTCTGTACAAACTGCAACTTTAACATCCTAGCTTTCCTTCAATGTTAGATGAAAATCTAATAAAGTACTGTCTAAAAGCCCTTGTGTTACAGAACAGTTCTCTGCTGAAGTATCTATGAATGGAATGTGCAAGCTCACTCTCTGATTAGCATATTGTCTGGCAGGTATATCTGCGAATGACCAAGTTGGTAGAAGGGTATTTGCTATAAATTTGAAATACGTGAAATTAAATATAGGACAGAAGTCCCCATCAACACAGAACAGACCCAAATGCAATAGCGGGAGCCAGAACAAAGCAGGAAGATGTTTGGCACTTAATGCCTTGTTGAGAAATGCCAGAGACATGCACAGAAGGCAAGCACTGCACCTCCCACCACCTGGACTGAAGACAAGAGAGCCAACTCACTTGCTACCCTTCCTAGTATAGGTTATGCTGAGGGTACCTGAGGATGTTGATGCAGCCATTGCCATTGGTGAGGAAAAACATGTTGTTGTCGTTGTTCCAAGAGATCTCATTCACCTCAAATTTGAACTGCTCCTCTGCTTTAGACCTATGTGTCTTTGCATCAATGAAGGTAACCACATCATCTTTGTTCCCTACTGCAATAGTCTGTCCATCAGGGCTCCAGCAGATATTAATGTTCTCCCCTGTAAAGAAGAAAGGGCATTCATAACATAGACCAAGAATAAATCAGGCAACACGTGGACTTCTATATTTTTGAACTCCTACAGTACTAATGTGATCAAGTATCTCAGCATCACCCTACATAACATTCATCACACGTGAATATATCAGATCTGTCACTAACAAAAAGTTACACCAAGCCTGAACTTCCGGTTTATGGCGGCTTGCTCTTGGACGCGTCCCATCGGCCCTCCAATGGCGACGCACCAAGCCGAGGCGATCAGGAGGGATCTTGGCTGGTTCCAGACCCCCACAGAGTCTCTGTAGGAGACTCTCAGCCTGGGGAGCCGGGATAAGACTCTCCCAAGGCGACGGCTGAGGGATCGAGTCTTGCCTGTCCCCGAGTGGTCCTGATGCCACGGGGCCAGTATGGCAACGAGAGCCAACCTCTGGACGAGCGGACAAGAAAATAAGCGAAAATAACCCTGGCAATAATCGAACTCGTCTAACCAGTGTGTTAATCAAACCTCTGTATAAGCGAAGAAGTCTCAGCTTGCTAGATTGACCAGAGAAAGAGCAGCATGTGGAAAAGGGTTGGAGATCTACCACCCCCTCCAAAATGGAGCGGTCTCTAAGTGGTACAAAAAGGAAAGAAGGAATGAAACTTACCGCTCGAGACTTCATTTAAGCTTGAAAGCTATATTTTAAGCCCAAGAACGTGTAATTCAGAGAAACTTTAATTTAAAACTAAAACTTTTCTTCACTGTAAACAAATGGCTGGGAGGGTGAGGAGAATGGCGGCGGAAAAGAAACTTCCACCAGGGAGTACTATACCAACGACGCCCAGTCAGCCACAGGAAGCGGCTGCAGACTTTCCCAATATGCTTGCCACAGCACTGTGCCCTCTGGATTACATTATTACTTGACTTAAGCGTAATTAAGCTTTAATCAATAGAAGTTTGATCTTTCTGCTTTTATAATTCTATGTTTATCATAATATCAATATTATTGCAGGAATGATGTATGCCTGTGTCAGCTTATAAATATTCTTGTCATAAGTTAGTGATAGGTTTCCCCTGTACCTTTACCTTTAGAATGCAGAATATAGTTTATAAAATCAATAAAAATATTATATAAAAAAAGTTACACCAGCCTTTGGGACACAATATGTTCTGAAATAAATAAACATTGAGAGAACAAGTACATTTTTCCACACTACCCACACTATACCCCAAACCATCCCTTAAGCAGTTTCTAGTGGTATCCAATTCAGGACTTTCACAAAAAAGGTGTGAAATACACAACTAAATTATTTTGTCATCAAAAACATGTAATTCAAATACATAAATTAGTTATGTAAGGATACACAACTCCTTTGTATTAGAAAGAGAAGCCTTGTGTGTCTGATCTTGAAAGACTGCTGAAATTCATACAGTATTTTTATTACATGCTTTTAAGCACAAGAGTTGTTTTTACATTAAAAATAATTTTACATTAATCTTTTTTTGTTTCTCTTGATCGTTGCCAGTGTATGCTGTTGTTCTGGTGTCCATTGCTGGCTTTCAAAATACAGCTAAAGTAAAAGTACATTTTGCAGCATAGTACAGCCCAATGTCATCAGACAATGTCATCAGACAGGAGACGAAAAGTCTCTGGTTCGGGTTGGCTCATCTCAGAGAGATGAGGGGGTACCTGTTGCTTTTCTACAAGGAGGTGGATTGAAATTGTCCACTGAGACTATGGCTAGTGACATGGACTGCCTGACAAGGTCTCGAGATAGCAAGAGGAAGGTGGCAGGCTTAACCAGTATGGGAAATTACAGCTGTTTCTATACAAATGCTCGAAGTGTCCGAGGTAAAATCGGGGAGTTGGAGTGCTTGGTGTCGAAGGGAAAAATCGACATTGTGGGTATTTCAGAAACTTGGTGAGATGAGGAAAATCAGTGGGATACGGTGATTCCCGGTTATATATTATATCGGAAGGATAGGGGGGGAAGGGTTGGCGGTGGGGTGGCTCTGTATGTCAGAGAGGGTATAAAGTCCAGAAAGATTGAGAGGCTAAGAGAATTGGATTCGCTTCTTGAAGTTCTGTGGGTTGAAATAGGGGGGCCAAAAGGAAACTTAACACTGGGAGTTTGTTATCGCCCACCGGATCAAAAAATAGAGGAGGATTATAAAATGATGAATGAATTAAAGATAGCAGCTAGACAAAAACACTGTGTCGTAATAGGTGATTTTAACTACCCACACATTGATTGGGTCAATATGTGTTCTAGTCGAGAGAAAGAGATTGAGTTTCTAAATGACTGTGCTATGGAGCATATGGAGCAGATGGTCATGGAACCTACCAGGGGAGAGGCGATCCTTGATTTGGTCCTAAGTAACACTCAAGACCTGGTGAGAGATGTAAAAGTGATTGCACCGCTTGGGAACAGTGATCATAATGTTGTTGAGTTCAACATTTGTACAAATAGGGAATTGGCCAAAAAGACTCACACAACCACTTTTAACTTTAAAAGGGGTAATTTTTCTGATATGAGGGGACATGTGGGGAGGAAACTGAAGGGAAAAGTAGAAAGGGTCAAAACCATTGGGGAAGCTTGGAAACTGTTTAAAACTACAATTCTAGAAGCTCAAATAAAATATATTCCGCAGGTTAGGAAAGGCACAAACAGGTATAAGAAAAAGCCTACATGGTTAACAAACAAAGTAATGGAAGCTGTAAAAGGTAAAAAGGATTCCTTTAAGCGGTGGAAAGCTAGTCACAGTGAGGCTGATAAAACAGAACACAGGCTATGGCAAATAAAATGCAAGTCTGTGGTCAGGCATGCAAAAAGGGAATATGAGGAGCATATAGCAAAAAATGTAAAGACCAACAATAAAACTTTCTTCAAATACATTAGAAACAGGAAACCAGCCAGGGAGGCAGTGGGGCCCTTGGATGACCAAGGGGTAAAAGGAGTACTGAAGGATGATAGGGAAATGGCTGAGAAGCTAAATGCATTTTTTGCCTCCGTCTTCACTGTGGAAGATGAGAGGTGCTTGCCCACTCCAGAGCCGCTGAGTTCGGGAGGGGTGTTGAAAGACCTGAGTCAGATTGAGGTGACGAGAGAGGAGGTCCTAAAACTGATAAACAACTTAAAAACTGATAAATCACCAGGCCCAGATGGCATACATCCAAGAGTTCTGAAAGAACTCAATTGTGAACTTGTGGATCTCCTGACAAAAATATGTAATCTCTCCTTAAAATCAGCCTCCATTCCTGAGGACTGGAAGGTAGCTAATGTCACTCCCATCTTTAAAAAGGGTTCCAGAGGAGATCCGGGAAATTACAGGCCTGTCAGTCTGACGTCGATACCGGGTAAATTGGTGGAAACCATTATTAAGGAAAGAATTAGTAGGCACATAGATGAACAAAACCTATTGAGGCAGACTCAACATGGGTTCTGTAAGGGAAGATCTTGTCTCACTAACCTGTTAATGTTCTTTGAGGGGGTGAACAAACATGTGGACAAGGGGGATCCAATAGATATTGTTTACCTTGACTTCCAGAAAGCTTTTGATAAAGTTCCTCATCAAAGGCTCCTAAGCAAGCTCAAAAATCATGGGATAAAAGGACAAGTCCTTTTATGGATCAAAAACTGGCTAATTAATAGAAAACAGAGAGTGAGTATAAATGGGCAGTTCTCCCAGTGGAGGGGTGTAAGCAGTGGGGTACCACAGGGATCAGTACTTGGTCCACTGCTTTTTAACTTGTTCATTAATGATTTGGAGTTGGGAGTAAGCAGTGAAGTGGCTAAATTTGCGGATGATACGAAGTTGTTCAGGGTGGTGAAAACCAGTGAGGATTGTGAGGCACTCCAAAGGGATCTGTCAAAGTTGGGCGAGTGGGCGTCAACATGGCAAATGGGGTTCAATGTGGCCAAGTGCAAGGTGATGCACATTGGAGCCAAAAATCCTAACTATAAATACACGTTGATGGGGTCTGAACTGGCAGAGACAGATCAAGAGAGAGATCTTGGAGTTGTAGTAGATAACTCACTGAAAATGTCGAGACAGTGTGTGACTGCAATAAAGAAGGCCAATGCTATGCTGGGGATTATTAGGAAGGGTATTGTAAACAGATCAGCCAATATCATAATGCCGCTATATAAATCAATGGTGCGACCTCATCTGGAATACTGTGTGCAATTCTGGTCACCACACCTTAAAAAGGATATTATAGCTTTGGAAAAAGTGCAGAAAAGAGCAACTCGAATGATAAAAGGGTTGGAACACTTTCCCTATGAGGAAAGGTTAAGGCGCTTAGGGCTCTTTAGCTTGGAGAAACGACGACTGAGGGGTGACATGATTGAGGTTTATAAGATTATGCATGGGAAAGAGCAGGTAGAGAAAGAGGTACTTTTCTCCCTTTCTCACAATACAAGAACCCGTGGGCACTCCATGAAATTGCTGAGCGGTCGGGTTAGAACGGATAAAAGGAAGTACTTCTTCACCCAAAGAGTGATTAACACTTGGAATTCACTGCCACAGGAAGTGGTGGCAGCTACAAGCATGGACGGCTTCAAAAGGGAATTAGATAAGCATATGGAGCAGAGGTCCATCAGTGGCTATTAGCCACAAGGTATAGATAGGGACTCTGGGGCAAGTGATGCTCTGTCATCTTGGTGCTTGGGGGGGGGGTCAACAGTGGGAGGGCTTCTAATGTCCTGGCCCCACTGGTGGACCTCCGGATGCCACTGGTATTTCTGGCCACTGTGTGATACAGAGTGTTGGACTGGATGGGCCTTTGGCCTGATCCAACATTGGCATCTCTTATGTTCTTATCTCTAAAGCTAAGCAGGATCAATACTTGGAAAAGAGACCACCAAGGAAGACTCTGTAGAGGAAAACAATGGCAATCTCTGCTTCTCACTTGCCTTTAAAGCCCCTTGCCACTTGCCATCAGTCAGCTGCGACTCGACAGCACTTTACACACACAAAAGTACATTTTAATCTTTGCCCAGAACTATGAAATACCAAACAGACGTCAACAGAGAACCAAGCAATCAAAGCTGCCAGAGAGCAGCAGAGACATTTTGTTGTGTTGCTGCCCCCCCCCCAACCAAAATAGTTTTTCTCCAATACACTCTGGCATCACCCACCTTTGGTGTTCACAGTAGCAATGCACTTAGTAGTACGGACATCCCATATACGAATGGTTTTGTCTCCAGATGCAGTGACAAATAAATCTGGGTTACTAGGGTGCCAGCACAACTGATCCACACTGTCCCCATGGCCACGGTAGTTATTCTCCTTTACCTGGGAAAACAAAATACAGTTTTAATAGAACACTCTAAAAAATCCAAATATTTAAACCAAATCAGCACGATTCGAAGGTTGTACATCTCATAAGCAGCGCTTAGCCAATCCTCACCACCACCATGCAAAACCAACAACAGTTTCGGGTTTTAGCTTTCATTAGGGATAAAATTTAGGGAGGGTGGTGGTGGTGGAAGGTGGTGGGCACGATCGCTAAACATGAGCAGCGCTTCCCCCGTTCCCACTCCGCGCTGGGCGCGTCACAGCTACTGACCAGGCGGTCCTTGTCGAGCACGAAGACGCTGGCGGTCTTGTCGAAGGAGCCCGACGCCAGGCGGCGGCCGCAGCAGCTCCAAGCCACCGAGTGCACCTTAGCCCCGTGTGCGGGGAATTCGCGGCTGCGCGTGTTGGCCCGGAATAATTCCTGCATGGCCAGCACGTACGGAGAAAGCGCCATGACAACCGAACCAGATTAAGCTGAACACATCGGCTTTCCCTTCCGGCGACAAAGGTCGCATTTCTGTGACGTCATCAGACGCACCCAATAAATAAATCCTACCGGCTCTGTTCAGAGTACTTGTCACTTCAGATCCCCACTGGAATCCTCCATATGCGGGGCAAGAATGGTGGAAATCCTAGAAAGCGATGTAAAAACTAAAGCAGATGCGATTTGAGGCTCCCTTTCATTGCAGTTCTTCCATGTCCTCTCCCGAAAAAGTTATCGGGTTTACAGGACGATCCTGCTTTCTCATTGGTTGTTGTCCGAATAGAACCCTTGACTGTTGTTGGAAGAAAGAAAACGGCAGCGAGGTTGAACGTCAAAATGTAGGGTGAGTTTGAGTTTTGTTTCTGAATACAAATTACTGAAGCATAAGAAATTGTCATTTTTTTGGTCCAGTTAGTAATGCCGCTGGCGAAACTTAAAGCATCATCTCACTTCCCTTTCGGGTTAGATAGCTCCCCCCCCCCCCCCTTGTACTTGGGCAGATGGAAAGCAAAGCAAAACGAGAAGTCTGTGCTTGGCCAGGAAATGAACAAAAAACGTTAAAGAGACGAGCAGCACAGTCCTACTCAGCTCCAATGGATCTGTGGTCCCATTCACATAGAGAAGTTGCCGGCTAAAGACATGGATGATAGGTGGATTTTCTGTGCGATCACACCGCAACATAGTACACCCGCCGGTGGCTAACCCGTGGCTTCTCGGAGTAAAAAGCTACCACATACGATGTATGCATCTGATTGCATTTCCGCTTGAATCCCGTAGCATCCGGGGCCCGTCCATGTCCCGTCGCACACCGGATGTTTTTTTCTTGTAAGTCTCCACAGGATGCGCACAAACGATCATGCGCATGCGCAAACTTCGGTGTGAAAAAATTTTTCTGTTTGCCACGGAAGTGGCGTCTAGCGATTGCCGGTGTGATCGCACCGCGCTGCTTCTTTGCCGCGCTGCAGGATAGATCGGCACCTAACGGCCTAACCACGGGACCTCGACAGGACATGTGATCGGGCTGCCGCGCGTTACTTTGCTCTGGGGCAAACAGCCATGCTTCCCCCCCTGCATTTTCCAGCCCGTGTGACCGGGACCTGTGTAGATCTGACTTTTACTATTTCCCCACGAATGACGATACCGGTTTCATATCTACATCTTATCCGAACAGAAACAAAGGCTGTAAGGGTTCACCAGAAATTCTTTGGAATAAGTTTCAATGTTATAGGTACAAGGTAGGACTTCAGATGGAGAAACCTACAAGTTTAAAAGTTTGCACAACAGCTAGAAACTCAACAGCTACAGGCTTTTCATCATTGTCTCTATTAGGAGGTAGGGCTATATCTGTTGCATTTTTGCCCTTCTCATCGATTTTGAGATACAGGAGCCCTGTCCCCCATTCCAGTATTTTGTGATTCTGTGTAGTTTGCTCCCTGGTTTTTTAGTTAGGTGACATGCTCTCAAAGTACTTCAGCAAAAGGGAGCCTCAGAATACTGTCCTGCCTAAGGCCAGCAATCGAGCAGGGACTCATATCTGGATTCCCTACATCCAAACCTACCACTACGGCATCGCTTTATAGATGTGTGTCTCTCATCTCCTCCCCCACCCCCACCCCCGACTTTCCCTCCAGTAGTTTAGATGTCTCAGAATTGAATCCAGGTCCTTTTGCATCTAGAATGAGACTCTTCTCCGGAAATACAACTATTAAAATATGTTAATAGCTTTTGCTGCTTTTTTCAAAAACCAGCTTGCGTATACCAGTGAAAAGGATGGAATGTGCATGTAGTAAATGTATTTATGTATTGTGCATCTTTTAAAACCAGCATGGCAATAGTTTGTGCCCTTCTGCATGTGGGGCATTACACAGGAGTGTGCACTTAAATGACTTCGGAAAGGGGGGAAATAACTATTCCACCATATTTTAATTTGATTATTTCACTCCCAGGACCGGAGAGAAAGGGAAGTTCCCGGTTGCTTCCTCCCCTTGTATCCCACACGGTCAGCCAACACCCGACGCGCTTTTAGCCCCGCCTTCTATTTGTTTCCTGGCTGGTGGTGGGGTTAGAGACCTCAAAATTCGGCGCACTTTAAGCTTCAAAGCCCACACACACACACACACTCCGCATGGAAGCTGATGGGGCGGGTTTAGAGAGGAAAGCGTAGGAGTGGCTCTCTCCTCCCAGCCGCTTCGCTTGCACTGCGAAAGGCGGCTTGGAGAGGAAAGCTGGCTGGGGACGCGTTCTGCTCCAAGGGCTGATTTCTCACCGCCCCAACAACACTTGGCTGGCCAGCGGTGGCTGGGGAAGGAAGGAAGGCGGGCTGACAGCCGCAAACCACTCCCGCGCACTCTCTGCTCCCACAGCGCAATCCTAAACAGTCCTAAACAGTCCAGTGGCACCTTTGAGACCAACCAACAGAGTTTAATTCTGGGTATAAGCTTTCCTGTGCATGCATACTTTTTCAGACACATTGAAACAGTTTTTCTCGAGCCTTACTTATATGTGTGGGGGGTAGTTGCCAGGATGGGCTAGTTAGTCAAGATGCATAAATAAGTGGGCGATAAGTATAGCTGAGATTGGATTAACACCGTTGTTAATTGCAGCAAATTAGCATACAAATGGAAGAATTAACAAACAGATGTGAGAACTAAGTTTGTGTCCAGTGGCACCTCCAAGTAGGGTTGCCAGGTCTGGGTTGGGAAATACCTGGAGACTTTGGGGGTGGAGCCGGGAGAGGGCGGGGTTTGGGGGAGGGGAGCGGCCCCTGCACTGTACAATGCCATAGAATCCACCCTTCAAAGCAGCCATTTTCTCCAGGTCAGCTGGTGTTCAGTTGTGAAAGTGGGAGATCCCCAGGCCCCACCTGGAGACTGGCAATCCTACTTCCAAGACCAACAAAGTTCAATCCTGGATATAAGCAAGAATTGATTTAGCATGTGTAGATGCACACTTCTTGGATATATTGAAACAGATTTCCATTTTTCTTTTGATGTAGAGTTTGACCTGTTTGTCCTATGTAGAGAACTGAAGAGCAATGTTGGCATTTAATGCTATATACAGTGTTAGAAGATGAGCAAGTGAATGAGCCTGAGATGGTGTAGTTGATGTTGTTAGTTCCAGTGATTGTGTTGTCTGTATGAGGCAGCAAAGTTGGCACCTGGGTTTATTGCAAGCTCTGGTACCAGTGTCCATCTTCAAATTAGGTGTTGTATTATTGTGGGTGAGTTGTTTGAGACTGGGGGCTGTCTGTGTGCAAGAAAAGGTTTGCCCCCCAGTACTTATGAAAGAGACCTGTCATTATCCAGTAGAGGTTGTAAGTTGCTGATGATGGGTTGAACTGTAAAGGAATTTCAGAAACAGACTGTAATAAGAGATTGCTGAATTACAAGTTCTTACAGCACTCAGGACAATGGAAGCCCCAGGGCTTAACAGAGATATTGGGTTCTTATCTCACTACACACGCTAAGGCTGTGATCACAGACACCTTTAGATCTGACATATGTGCAAATGCTTGATGGATCTAAAAGAGCAATCAGACAGCAACATCTGGGAAGCATCCTGCCATCGTTGGCAACCCATGCTGCTCTGCTGCAGAAGCAAAAGACACTGGGGAAAGTCTGGTAGTAAATGGGTTCTGATGGGCTACAGACTTTCCCCTGTCTGATCACGCAAGCACACTCTCATACCATCGGGATGGTCTGATCAGGCCATCCTGGCTCGGTGCCATTCCCCCCCCTCACAGTATGCGCATCATCGCATACTCCATAGGGGACCCTCAGTGCAGAGGGGCGATGCCTCATTTATGCACATGGGAAACAAACGGCCATGACTCACCCACAGTTGTATCTGATCACATAGTGACGGGCTGCGCCCACGGCTACAAAGGGTGGTGTGATCTCGCAACTGCGCGTCAGATTCCTCCGGAGGAGATAGCCTCGCTCCCCCTCCACTCCAACTGGCACAGGTGACCACAGCCTAAGTCACTCAGTTAGAAGTCACTTATACCCAGAATTAAACTTTGTTGGTCTTAAAGGTGCCATTGGACTCAAGTTCTCACATCTGTTAGTAACTGTTTTATTATCTGTATGCTATTTGCTGCTATTCACAGACCTTACCAACTGTATTATTTCAGTCTTAGCAGTACTTATGCATCTTGACTCTAATTAGCCCTTTGTGGCAACTAACCCCCCACCTGGGGATAAGGCTTGAAAAAAAATCTGTTTTCAGTGTATCTGATACAGTGTGCATGCACACGAAAGCCTATACCCACCTGAGTCCTAGTCAGGTCTATGGGGGGGGCCCTTCTTCCTGGCAATGGTCCTGCTCTCTAGAAGTCTCCTATGCTGGCCTCTGCTTCAGTCGCACACTACTGGCCCCTGCTTCCTTCACCCTACTCCCTCATTGCCCTGACTGCCTCACTGCATCTCCTCCCCACTGCCTCGCTTGGGCCACCTACTCCTTCCCTTCCCTTGCCTGCCTCCTTTGTTTCCATCCCCAACATCATCTTGTCTTCCTGCCACCACTTTCTTGCAGTCCATTCTGCCTATCCAGAAACGCCCAGCTGTGTAGCAGACTGCCCCTTTTTTCTTGCCTGGGTTGTAGTCAGTGTTCCTTCTGAGCTGAGTTGAGCAGTTTTTTAGCCTCCAGTTCACAGATTTTTGCCTTAGCTCAGGAAGGATGGCTCCAGAGCAAACTAATTTATGCAGCAGCCAAATTGCTTGCTCTCAACTTTAATGCCAGTAGTTCACAAAGTAGAATTTTTACTCACAAGACTCCACAGCTTAGAGGGAACACTGGTTGCAGTCACTTCTCCAGTTTTGGTTTAATTTTTAAATTTGGTTTAATTTATTTTTGGTAGCTTTTCAGATTGTTCTTCAAAGTTCAGGTGGTCGTATTTGACAGAGCTGTTTGCACTTGAATCGCTGTTGGCATCATAGTTTCCAAACGAGCGATTCGTACTTTCTCCTATAGCATTAAAATTTCACACCTGCATGGTAAAGTAGCCTTGAAAAGTTTTCCTGGTGTACATAAGCGTGCATTTTAGGGTGGTTTTACATGCTATGCCTTTTGTGTGGATCTGTTCTGACCTGCTATTGCTGTTTCCCTGAATTGCTTTCTCATCTGGGATTTTCAAACAGTTTGAAATGCCCACTTATCCCTGCATGTATCCTCCCTGCGTGGAAGGCATCCAGTCCCTGTGGGCATATTATCTTTGGTTCTGTTTTTTATCCTGTTATTTGTTGCTGCATGTGATTTCAGTCTGGGGGAGTGAGTACAGAAGAGGGAGAAGGTGGTTGAGGGGGCCCAGGAGCTTTGCTGCTGTGAAAGAGAGCAGAGAGAAAGCAGAGATGGCAGAGCAGAAAAGGAAGTGGCCGGCTCATCTCTGCTCCTCCCAGCAGCTTCTATGCAAAGCAGCTGCAACTCAGTGGGGCACCTGCAGCAGGAACTGTAGTAACAACTGACTCCATTCTACTGGCAAAGCCTCAGCAGGCAAGCAGACAGCTTAACTTCATTTGTTGTGATCATAGATCAGCCATGATTGATATGCAGATAGTCTCATCAGCACATCCACATACAGTAAAATTTCAAAGCCACCTAACAAGCTGCTTTCAACAGTACAAATAAAAAAAACCCCTTAATTAGTACCTTACTTGTTAAAAATGCCAAAGTGCAAAATGCGGCCTTAAAGGTGGTCTTGTTAGAACAATCTAAGAGGAGAAAGGAAATATAAAACGCATCAGATCTGCCTGGCAAATTTGATAACACTGGAGCTGTGTATAATTGTGGAGGAGCCGTGGTTCAATGGTAGAACATCTGCTTTGCATGCAGAAGATCCCAGGTTCAATCCCCAACATCTCTAGTTTAAACGATCAGGCAGTAGGTGTCTGGGGAAATAATTTATTTAAAAGCCAGATGATCCCCCCTTTTCCAAGACCTATCTGAAAGGAATAAAAATCACTTCAAGGCTTTTTGCTAGGAAAGCAGGCAGTTTATTTAAGAATGATTCATCCTGATACCAGTGCACTGAAGTGCTCAGTAAGCTGGCGTGTTTTAACTGACACAGAGTTCATGTTTTATAGAGGAATGTAAACAGGGCAGTCAGGCTCTGAGGATTGGATAGTTCTTGCCTTGCAAATAATATGGTGATCTTTAAGTTATTTTATTTGAATTCTCTGTGGTCTTTGACACAGATTTCTCTTTGGCAAGTCAAGGCTAGAAGGTGTAACTTTGCTGAAGATGGACAAATTTAGAGTCCAGTGGCACCTTTAAGAGCAACAAAGGTTTATTCAAGGTATGAGCTTTCGTGTGCAAAGCACACTTTTTCAAATACATATGAACCTCACCTACCATTGCAATGCATTTGAAAAAGTGTGCCATGCACATGGAAGCTCATGCCTTGAATAAACCTTTGTTGGTCTTAAAATAAACCTTTGTTGGTCTGGAGTCTAAATTTGTTCTATTGCTTCAGACCAACACAGCTGACCACCTGGATCTGTGCTGAAGATGGTTCTGTTAAAACTGTCAATACAGTTTCTTCAGAGGAAAGTTTCAAAGGTAGACTCCAGCAAGAAACAGCTGAATTAGAATTCATGTGCAGAGCTGGTACTCCCCAGGGTGTGGAGATAGTTCTTCACACAAAAGTCATTGTTCCTGTATACATGCTTGTGTACACTAGCGTTTGCCCTACTTCATCTACAACAGATGGGATTGGTCCACACACACACACTCTGAGGCTCGTTTACGCTTTTTGATTGGAGATGTCGCTTTCACTTTTGCTCTACATTGTAACGCCGCACACCTGATCTCGGGAAACTGTGCTGATCTCCTTTTGGAACAACGCTTCATCCTTTCAACCTCTCTGCCTGCCGGCTGTAAACCCCCCCAACCCCCCCCCCCCCCGGACTTGAGCTCAGGCGAGCGGCTACCGTAATACATTCAGAGGCTGGCCGTGTTGGTCTGCAGGAGAACAGTTAGATTTGAGTCCAGAAACCTCAGGTGCAGCTGGGGTCCAAGCAAACGGCAATGAATGCATTCGTAATAAGCCTCCTGGTTGTTGTGGCTGCAGCGGACGACCAGGGCTGTGGCTCCGGAATGTGTGTGTAGAAGAGATTCCACGCGGCGCGTTCGAATCGGGGAAAAATCCCGGCTTCCCCCGCTGGCGGGGAGCGGTGGACCCTCTTCTCTCTCTCTCTCTCGAGGGG